GCCAACTTAAAGAAATTTATGACCAGTACTCAGTGGTGGACAGAAAACTGCTGGAGCTGAAGTTCAAACAGAATATGAACTATGCCAAGGAGAATGATACCGTGGTTTGGGTATGTTGAAATGGATTAATTCCTTCTCCAGGTACCACCCCTCCTGCTCTCATATTCTTGGAGGACTAGGAAATAACACTGTCATTTGCACTATGCACTTTTTGCTGTCTAACTAATAGAACCTGCAGTAAGTGGAATGGCATAATTTGCATTGCATGTGTTAGCTGTAGTCAATAGACAGAAGGTTTATCTGCGGCTGAATTTTTTACTGTATTACAATTGGCCCCTTGCTATGTAAGGAGAATTGCACTCACAATTCCTTTTACCAAAAATGCAATCATCATCTCAGAGCATATATAACAACAAAATCCATGTTGTCACACACACATTGTTATTGTAGAACTTCATTTTAAGATCATAAAATGAGACTAGAAGAATTTAATGTATTTTCAAGGATCTTGCCAGTTATCCAGTATGTAGGTTTTGAAGTCTTGACCTCAGCATCCCTTCTAGGATAAGTTTAAAATTATTGTCCAACCACAGCCTCTCCAAAACCACTAAATGATGTACTCTTCAAAAACAGCTATAATTGGATAGTAATGTCCCACCACAGAAACTCGGTTCTGCAGGTATCTTTTCTGTTTCTTTTTTAAGGGACACTGAATAAAGAGGTTTGCATCTTTAGAGAGACCATTAGATACTGCTTACATTCACAACAATGAAGAGTGTAGGCAGTAGATAATGTATTAACTCTGCCTATTGTCTGTAGCTCTCCACATATTATGTACTCACTGTGCAGCAGATAGAGAAGTATCTGCTCATTTGAAGATTACTGAAGCCCTGATAACCTTTTTGCATCAATGTTACTATGAAAGCAGAAGCCTGGTAGGTGTGTTTTCCAATTTTCCCTCCCCCGATGACCTAAACTAAATACTAAAACCAAATTCATCTGTACTTCCTGACTTTTTTTGGATAAAGAGAGTTGGGAAAGTGTGTTCATTGTTATATGTCAACAGACTGGTGCTGGCAGGTCCAGGCTACTACTGTTGGCTTTATGGGAAAGTCCTCCATTGTATCATGCTGAAGCTTGATTCCTAGGGATGTTTGAAAGAATGTCTTGCTGGGTTGGAAAATAACAGAACTTTTTATAGTAATATGTCCAAAATGCTGCTTGTATAGGATTTGTCACTTTTGTAAGAAAAGAGAAAAAAAATCACAAAAAAAATAAACCCCCTCATTGGATGCCATTACATAAGATTTCTTTTAAGCTACCTCTCAGTATGACATTCAGATATTTGGTAAGTTTAATAAGGTTCTCTCACTGTCGCATTATGTAAAAGTTATAATGAATGCCAAAATTGCAAAACTTTATCACCAAAAAGGAAAGAAAAATTCAGTCTTTTGTGTGTGTGTGTGTGTGTGTGTGTGTGTGTGTGTGTGTTTGAAAGGATCCTACAGTTTCAAGTTATTGTAAGTTCTGTTATATTCTTTCAATTTCTGTAGTTCCAACCTTGCAAACTAGCTGCTGGACAGGATATAAATCATAACCACAAGCTTTCGTAATTATCTTCTGCTGGGTGAAAAAAAATTTTATATGCAGCTTTGTCATTCGACTATAGATAGCCTCAGTCACCAATGCACTATTAATTTGGTTGTCTTCTTTATTTCTTCACTACTCAAGATGTGAGCCTGATGAATGGTGTTCTGTAATGGATGTATGCCACAAAATACATGGTCTCATTTGCCTCTCTTTTGAATTTTAATGATCAGTTTATTATTGCAGATGTGAATATTGTTCATACAGCTTAATTTCTGTATAATTGTATAAAATATATATGGAAAAAATCTTAGGTTTTTACCTATTATTTAGAGGTAATGTATTATAATAGACTTATGTTGCAGTTTTACTTACAAAGTACTGTACTTCTTTTAAACTGGATCATACCATCTTGGTAGCTGTACATAAATTTTTGGCATGAGTGTGTTTTGGTTTTGCTTCTTTTTAATTGAAGTTTGATTCTCTTAAGTTCTGTTTTCAGTGTTTGTGTTTACTACTTGTGATCATGTAGTTGTGCCTTACATTGTGAAAGAATTTAGTTCAGTGTGCACTGTAATTCTTAAACTGTGTTATGAAGGCAGCTGTGGATTTGGATGAGAAGGTGACACCATGCATTAACCAGTTCTGTATAAACTATGATGACATGTTAGTGAAATGACATTTTTGTTTTCTAACCTGTGAAAGGAATGATTAATAACAATAAAAAAATTAGACCTTTCTAACAGACCAGTTATGTAATTCAAAACTACCTTGCCCCATTTCAGACAGCAAAGTTGCTTTGAAATGAGGGATATATAATTTTACAGATAAACTGTTGGGAAGCCACACATCTAAGAACAAGCTAAACGCTCCAGTTTCTTAGGCTCGTGGAGAGCTGCATCAAAGGCTTTCACATTCCCGAGGGAGACAGTGATAATGACTGTTTTTCAAATCTGTTTTTTTCACAGGTTAAATTCAGAGTAGTCTTTCTGTTCCCAATTGCTGTACAAGGCTGTTGGATATCCCACGTTTGTTTAAATTTCTTCTGTCACTGGCTGTGTTCAGACATAACATTCAGTGTAGTCAGACAGGTGGTGTAAGTGGAAGACTCAAAAGTAGTACTTGTTTTATATTTTAGACTAATGAAGGTCTCACTTGTGAGATGGAAAGCTCTTTCAAGGTGGAACTGTGTTGCAGAGAGAAGCTGGATGATTAAGGTGGGAGCTCAGTACTGTGACAAAGCCATTGTTGAATTGTGGGGGCATAAACAAAAACCTATGTTTAGCTATTGAAGCAGCTCTTGAGGGTCTGTGTAGAAGTGGAGAAAGATGGAGAGAAGAGGTCTCTGAAAGGCAATTTGAGTTAGGAAGTTAATTGCTGCCTCAGCTACTTCTTGAGGTGTCTTTCACTTGACACCACAGAAGAGCACCTGTTAAGCTTGTGTCTTCCTGAAAACAGCTTGTGTGTGAACACTTCTTCCCCTGGCTGGTCCTCCTTGGAGACCTGCTGGCCTTCAGAAATTACAGAACCTCTGAGACTACTTCCTTGGCTGGTAAAGTGAGCAGACCTGGCTTAAGGTTGTTTTGGTAAAAATATACAGAGTGAACCCCCCTCCCTTCTGCCAGCACACATAGCACAGAACTTTGTCTGTCAGGTGTGGCTCCTCTGGGCTTGAAACATCTTTGTCTCCTGTCAGCATTGGTTTCAAGATGCTGTGAGGTTCTGGTGAGCACTAGGTATGATGCAGTGTGCAGCTGAGCTGGGGATCAGGGAGATGGAGCACAGCTGTGTCAGCCAAACTGCTGCTAAGTGTTTGCAGCTGTGTGGTGCCTCAGTGCAGATCTGCTGTGTCGACTCTCTTCTGCTCTCCTGCTTTACCTATTCACCACTTGGCATGGAGCCTGAGTGGCTGTTGCTTTCCCAGGAAGCTGTGACAAAAACTTGCCCGTCATGGGCACAGGGGGACGAGCAGAAATGTCCTTCTCTTGAGGCCTGCTCTTCACAGTGGCCTTGGTGACATCTGGAGAGTGCTGAACCAGGTAAGTGCATGCATATATATACACATATTTATCTACACATACTTATGTGTGCACAGCCTGCAGACTGTAGCTTGTATGTGGATAAAATGTACCACCACATCCTCATGGGTGGAGGGGGAGGACCAGGGTTAGTGGCAATGCTTAAAATTGTGGAGTAGAAGTGAATGTGAAGGGAATGCTGATTTCCCTGTGAATAATGCAAACAACTGGAATGGCATCCATTCTTCAGTGTAGTCCTCATCTGTGTGGCTTCTCTATTCAGTTTCCCTGAAGTGATTTCTGGCAGTGAGGTGATATTCTATGGGCTAACTTTTCTGCTGAGTGAGATAAGCTGTTAGGGACAGAAAGTGGGAGATGGGACAGAATCACTTGGAGTGGCTTTAGGGAATTCTCCCTTTCTGTCTTGACTATGGTTAATCTCAGGGGATAAGCCAAGGCTAACCTGGTGAGAGCACATTCGTGCGGGTTGCTGCCACTGAGGTAGTATCCTGCATCAATGTTGTGGCAAGCAGTTTCAGGCTGTTCTGTAGGTCTCTTTCAGTAGCTCAAAAAAAGGGAAAAATGAGGTGATTAACAGGAGCACACTTCTGCTATGTGGACCACAGGTTTGGGATAGCAGTGAATTATTGAGTGGTGTAATTGAAAAAGAACACTTGAGTTTGTGAAGCAAACAACTCTAAAGGCTGAAATGGGTATAAACAATGCATAATGACATATGTGCTGTTAATAAAGTAATGAAACACCTCAGGTAAAAAAAAATCTAATAAAGCAGGGCGTCATTGCACTTTTGTTCTTTCTTTTTATATACTGTGTATCATCTCTAGTTTAACAATGTTATACGTAATTATGACACTTTAAATATTCATGGTGAGTCAACACAGTATCTGCTTTTATCGATCTGTCTCCACAAGCTCAATATTAATGCAAAAATCATCTTGTAATATTACAGTTTAGCAGGTAGAGATGCATAACTATGGGAGGCTATGGCTACAAATTTTAATTCTATGAAATTTAGGAATACAGTTTGAATGATGGAATAAGACTTCTAGATTTATCTGGTGAATGAGTTCCCCTCACCAATGTAGGGATTTTTTCCCTGTCATGCATTATAGGAAATGACAAGTTGTATTAAAGCTTTCCTGGATGGCAAGAGCCTTCCCTAGGTGAAGCAAAGGAGCATCTAAGAGTGATATATTTGTTGCATGACTCATTTTTCCCCTCTAGTTTATTCCTACATGCCTGGTCCAAACTCTTCACTTTTGTCTAGTCAAGTCAGAAATCTGTTAGCTTCAGAAACTTAAGGCATTCTGGAAGAAATAACTGTTATCACCACAGTGCTCTTCCACTGGCTCTGTCAGTGCAGTGTTGACATTATTAAATTTCAGAGGATTCAACTGGGAAGCAGAAAGCAGTGCTTTTCTTGGTTTCATGTTGTGTGGTGTAATTCGAGATTGCCATTTCTATCTGTGACATCCATGCTTTCTGTAACAAGAAAAAATATTTGTAAACCAAGTCAACCTAAAATGTTCCAGTAATTTGGATGCATAAACACCCAGAGCCTTCAGTTTTATTTAGCCTTTCTTCAGGCCCATGCTCATAATGTCCCCCTCCCAAGACCTGCTATGTGCTGCCATCTGAATTTCAGTTTCTATCATCATGCTGACAGCATTCAGCTCTATACTTGCTGTCATCCAGGTATGAATACAGGGGATGATGGCTGAAGAGAGAATTTAAAATACGTAACTTTCTTCTCTCTATACTAGTCCAGATGGTCTGGTCACAGAAGCTGAGTTGTCTCTGAATTACTGTGATTAGACATTGAACTAAGTAACCTTTAAAGGTCCCTTCCAACCCAGACTATTCTATGATTTTATAACATTGAGAAGTTGGTAGCCCTGGTGTGAAGGCAGCTTTGGAAAGGAAAGGTCTTACTTCAATAACAGGAGGAAGTGATGAGTTCTTGAGTAGATACTGCTCCCGAGTACCAGCCAGTGACTTGGAAATGGAAAGAATTCACTCATTCCCAGAAAAAAAATCTTATCTTTTATTCATTCTGTTGCGATTTACTTTTAAGAATTAGTATTAGTGGTGGTCAAACTTCTGTACATTAGGTATTAGAGAATGGAGTTCAACTTACATGAGAAAACAAAATACTGCAAAGTGCCTGCCACACTTTCAGATGTGATGTGGTGTGAAAATGAGGGGTAAATTTATATAACAGTGGAATTAATCATACCATCTGTTCAATCTGAAATTGCAAGATGTGTGTTGTGCATAGATAAGCATGAGACAGTTTATGATCTGAGTACTATTGCATGTGAGTTGGGTGTTGGGGGGTTGTTTTAGTGTTGGCTTCTCTGTAGGGGCTGACCATCTTCATTTCTGTGACACAAGAAATGGCTCTTTGGGTTTTTTAAGCAATCAGAATTGATAATGTTTTTCAACAAGAGTATGACCTGCCATTAACCCTGATATAAAATTGGTACATATTCAACAGCAAAAATTCTGTAACGAATGTGTGAGCCAGAGCACTGGGGTGTTATTTTGATTTGTTTTGGTTTTGGTCAAATGTCACAACTGTAATAGATCCTTACTCACAGCATGACCACTTCTGGGCTGCCCTCCTGCTTTAGGGTGCGCGGTTGTGTAATTAGAGAAGGAAAAAAGTGTGCTACTTACCTTGGCAGTCTCTGTCTGAGCTTGTAGCAAGAAGACTGCTATGCACTGCTGATACCTGTTTTCATGCTGTATTAGGAAAGCATTTCGCAGACTGAAGACTGTGAAAAAATGTAAAGTGACATAAATGCACTTCATACAGCTGTCAGTACAATTTTATGTCACATTGGTTATGATTGAAGAAATGATATATGTAATGGCAATGCACCCCATTGAGGTTTTTTGTTGTGTGGGAAGCTTTTTAATTTCAAAACGTTAATTCTGCTTGCATTTGTTTTATTTTTAATTACTTTTATCAGTGTGCAGCTAAGGTGCTTTCGATTCTAGCAGAGGATCATTAGGAAATGTTTTTCTTCAAAGTGGACTAAATCATTACTGAAGTTAGAGAAAAACATACTGAAAAGTAAAGAGAAAGGCCCCATTTTAATTTTATTTAAATAGGTCTGTATGACAGCTGCCACGTAGGGAAGTGGCTGCACTCAGGCTAATGGTGGGTTTGGGTTCTCCCTGGGCATATGCCCGAGCTGGTGCTGCTGCTGGGGATGCCCTCAGTTGGCTGCTGGCAGCAACATCTCGCAGGGCCAGGCATCTTGCCAGAATTCTGGGCCTGATGATGACTTTCAGCATTAGGCAGCAGGTTTCCCTGCAAGGGGACACATTGGCATCAATGTCATGTCTGGAATGAAGGGGTGGATTAAGTGGGCTTTGAAGTGGAAGAGGAGGGAAATGCATCTTCATGTAGCCAAAACCCTGTGGCAGATGGCAGGTGTATTAGGGTGGGCTGGTAGTACCAGGGTGTGGGTCACAGCAACCTGTTGTAATGCTCTGAATTCACATGGCATTGCTTTTTTTATTAAGTGGAGTTGACATTGCTCTAAACAAAGGAATGCTGAGTGAGGTGTGGAATCATTTCCCTGCAAGCATTGGCCCTAAGCAGAGCCTTGATCCTGAACCCATGCAGCCTGAGGAGAGCCCAGATCTCAAGTTGTCAAGACAAGGCAGCATTTTTCTGAGTCTACTGAGTAGGCATATCTTTTTGTTAAATTTATCTAGTTCATATACTTTGCTCTAAAGCCTTGTACTATGTACAATATCTTGCTGCTGTGTAATGCTTCTTGTCCAAGCATTTCCAAGTTCTCAAAATGTTTCTGCAAGATGAAGAGTCCCATAATCCTAGTTTTATATAAAAGGAAAGTGGAGCACAGACTGGGTAAATTACTGCAGCAAATCAGTTAGCAGCAGAAATTTGTAGCAGCAGAGAGGATATGTTGCTGAACTCATGCCCTCTGTCTGTCTGTGGTCAATAGGAAACACAATTTTACAGTTCTAATATTGAATTTTCTGGACAATGCATGGCATCAGGCTGTCAATAATATTTTCTAAAAGAAATTCTGTGCCTTTAAAGATCACCAGTCTTTGATATAATGACATACCGGTGGGTCTAGCCCCTTCAAATGTAGTGTGAAGCATTATTGGGGCAATAATTAGCTGCAAAGATTAAATCCAGAGCAAAATGATAAAAGGAAAGCGATTTTCTAATCAGAAAGTATGTTGCTGCTTACAGCCTTCAGAAATGGGTTCCTACTATTACACTTACAAGTAAAATTACATCTCTTGTACAAGGTCATGGTGTTTGCAGATAGTTCTGGTTTTTAGGGTAGCTTCCTGGTGTTATGAGCACACCATTATGTCTCTTATCCCTTCACTGAAACGTAGAAGGCCTTGGGCTAGAATTATCCTGCATAATTATCAGCCTCCTGCCTGCTGCCAAAAGGTTATCTCTATGATATTGCAACATATATATTTTTTTCTAGTCCTTGTATTGAGCTTTATTTCCAAAGTGAGATCAACCCTCAGCAAACTAATGGATACAAAAGTACTTCTTAGATCAAAAATCAGGATTTCATTTTTGATTAATGTGATGGATCACATGCTGCCCTTTCTGAGAACATGGTAACTAATCTTTTAGTGCCACCAGGAAAAACAGTCTTCTTGAGATTGCAAATAAGTTGACAACATTCCCCAAGGTCACACATTCCTGACAATATGTGATATTTTCTTTCCCCCGCAAAGGGTCATTTTCTGTTGACACTGGAAGGTTTGCTTGCTGTTTTACACAGAATGGTGGAAATCTGAACTGCAAGCTCCCTATAGTAATTTTTCTCCCTGTTTTTATTGAACACCACCCCAAGGAGTCCTGTATTAGGATGGAGTTTCCAAGGTATTGCAAGACTACACGTAAGTAAAAGAGACTGCCATAGCTACAGCTGTAATAAAGTGATAGGAATATATGGCAGAGAAGTCAGACAATGAGGTCCAGAGTGCAGGGGAAGGGTCATAACCAGTGGACAGAGGCTGGGCTGAGATGCCTCTGTAAGTAAGTAACTTTGTCTATTCTGATGGTTGCAGCTGGATCACAGAGACAGAAAGACCGGTTAGGAATCTCTGCAAGTAGGAAATGCTGGCTTGGAAAAAAAAATACCCAAAAATCTTATTGCCGTTTTCATTATGGCTTTTATGGCCAATTTTGTAGGTGCAAACCAGAGGGTGGCTGCACTGCCCTCTCCAGCACCCAGAAGCTGTTGACCTTGCACATAGCCTGGGCTTAGGCCAGACATGGGGCTGCCCTCCCCTCCACCCTGCAGGCAAGAGGTGGCTGATGGGTTTACTTAATTTCTGCTGGGTTAGTAGGGAGACTCACTAGGCAGGCAGACAGTGGCTGGAGCACGTTTTAAAAGGTTATTATTCTGTGTGTTCATCCCCTTATCTCATGTTTAGTCATTTGCCTTTTATTGCCTACTTTTATTTCCTATCAGCATTGATGCAGAATGCTAATTTCTCTGGGTGAATATATTTCAAAGTTATGATAAATTTTACAGGCTCTAGGTTTATTTTCCATATATTTTGATTTCCTACAGAGCACTCTAGCTCCCTGTGCTATTCCTCTCAGTCTTTAAGATTTGGGATGACCCTGGAGCTCAGAGATTTGTATTTCCTTTAATTATCTTTGATACAGGAGGCTCCTGGGATCTCAGCAGTGTTAGATGGAATCATAGAATCATTAATGTTGGAAACGACCTCCAAGATCATTAAGTCCACCCTTTCATTGGACATCACTATGTCAACTAGACCATAGCACTAGGTGCTGTGTCCAGTTGTTTTTTTAATACTTCCAGGGTTGGTGACTTCCTGAGCAGCCTGTTACAATGCTTAACCACCCTTTGGGAGAAAAAATTCTTCCTGATATCCAGCGTGAACAACCTCTGGTGCAGCTTGAGGCTATATCATCTGTCACTAGTTGCCTGGGAGAAAAGGCCTGCCCTCACCTAGCTACAGCCTCCTTTTGGGTAGGTATAGAGATTGATAAGATACCCCCTGTGCTTTCTCTTCTCCAGGCTAAACAACCTCAGCTCCCTCAGCTGCTTCTCATATGACTTACTCTCTAGACCCTTCACCAGCTCCATTGTCCTCTGGACACACTCCAGCATTTCAATGTCTTTCTTGAAGTGAGAGGCCCAGAACTGGACACAGGGCTCGAGGTGCAGCCTCACCAGTGCTGAGTACAGGGGACCGATCCCTTCCCTACTCCTTGTGGCCACACTATTTCCGATATAAGCCAGGATGCCATTGGCTTTCCTGGCCACCTGGGCACACTGCTGGCTCATGGGTCAGCTGCTGTTGACCAGCATCCCCAGGTCCTTTTCTGCTGAGCAGCTTTCCAGCCACTCTTCCCTCAGCCTGTTGCACTGCATGGGGTTGTTGTGACCCAAGTGCAGGACCTGGCACTTCACCTTATTGAACCTCATACCATTGGCTTCGGCTCATTAGTTCAGCTTGTCCAGGTCCCTCTATAGAGCTTTCCTACCCTCCAGCACATTCACACTCCCACCCATCTGAGAGTCATCTGCAAACTGACTGAGGATGCCCTTGATCTCCTTATCCAGGTTATTTATAAAGGTGTTAAACAGGACCAGCCCCAATACTCAGCCCTAGGGAACATCACTAGTGACCAGCCACCAACTGGATGTTGCACCATTCACCATCAAGGTGAGGTGTGTGAAAACCTGCATCAGTGGCTCAGACTGAGGGGAGGCCCCTCAGTTCAGGAAGGATATTGAGGTGCTGGAGCAGGTCTAGAGAAGAGCAACGAGGCTGGTGAAGGGACTCGAGCACAAGTGCAATGAGGAGAGGCTGAGGGAGCTGGGGTTACTTAGCCTGGAGAAGAGGAGGCTCAGGGGAGGCCTTATCACCCTCTACAACTCCCTGAAAGGAGGTTGTAGTCAGGTGGGGGTTCGTCTCTTCTCCCAGGCATCTAGCAGTAGGACAAGAGGGCATAGACTCAAGCTTTGCCAGGGGAGGTTTAGGTTGGATATGAGGAAGAGATTTTTTACAGAGAGAGTAGTCAGGTATTGGAATGGGCTGCCCGGGGAGGTGGTGGATTCACCATCCCTGGAGGTTTTCAAGCTGAGACTGGATGTGGCACTTAGTGCCATGGTCTAGTAACGACGGTAGGGTTGGACTTGATGATCTTTGATTTCCATTCCAACCCGGTTGATTCTGTGATTCTGATTCATGCCTCCTCCCTCAAACTCTCTCAAATACATTCAGGCACATACCTGTAACATGGACGGGTTCAATGTTTTTCAGTATCAGTCTGTCTAGTGGGATGGGCTGGTCTAGGACTGTGCAAAATCCACCCTCTCTTATGAAGGATTGCAGCTCAGGAGTGAGGGAAGGACAGTCCAACCCGGTTGATTCTGTGATTCTGATTCATGCCTCCTCCCTCAAACTCTCTCAAATACATTCAGGCACATACCTGTAACATGGACGGGTTCAATGTTTTTCAGTATCAGTCTGTCTAGTGGGATGGGCTGGTCTAGGACTGTGCAAAATCCACCCTCTCTTATGAAGGATTGCAGCTCAGGAGTGAGGGAAGGACAGACAGGGATTAAGCTGGTGTCTGTGCCCCCGTATTTCTGGGAATAGAAAATGAAGTTGGTTAGCTGGTTTTCTGCCATATGTTCCTAAAATACAGGCACTAAACAGCTTTGAATTATGTGTTTTGTCTTATCAAAGATACACAGACAGCTTACTTGCCTGAGGAACCTTAGAAAAACTCACCAGTACCTGGAGCCCTCCTGCGAGGTCACACCTTGCGCTAAAAAGCCACAATAGAAACACAATAGAAGTCCATGGGCAGAAAACTGTTCAAAAGTATTTTTTTTTTTTATTCTTCCCTTTCTTTTAGTAGCAGGTCTTTTCCTCCATTCCTTGGAGGTGTGTTTCCCCATCTCCCCTCATGTCCATACTGAACACAGAATTCCTGGAGCTCCAGATGAGTTGCAGCCCTTCACAGAAGGTTCACCAACACATGTACATGGGGAAACCCTCAAAGAGACTTGTCTGAGGGCACCGGGTCCCTTGAATTTCTGCTGTCTTCACCATTTCCATTGCTAAGGGATGGGGTTGCTGGTCTAAAATCTCTCACTATATGCTTTGTCTCTCTCTCTCCTTTCTCTCTAAAGCAGAACACCTGCTTCTTTAAAAAAAAAACAAACCCAAAACCCCCCCAAAAAAAGCTCAAACCGAAACCAAACCAAGAATTCTTTAAATCAGACACAAACTTCTTGAGATTTAGCACAAGTCTACTTAGATTTAGTTTACTTCAGCTTCATAAACTTAATTCATTCGATGCACTCCTACACTGAAGCTTTAGGAATTTGAGGTCATCCAGTGACTTTTTTGGTGCCTAAATTCAGATCTTTATCATCTATAGAACTCTATAGCACCATTGAGCAAGAAACATTTTCTTAAGATGAGTCATTATATCTCAGATTTAAACTAGGGGAAATCAAGGCGGAGAGAGTTCCTACACTACAGGCAGTGTAAAAACTGAGAATAAAGCCAACCTCCCATCATTTTAGCATTTCCCTGGAGGTTTTTCTACCTGATTTTTTTTTTAAATTTTTCTGTTTTCCAACATCTCTGATACCTCTGGTGTAAAAATGTGTCATTAGCTGAACTGAGTCATGCAGGGAACATTAGAAAACTTCTAACATTCTTGAAACTTTTCTGAGCTTTAGGCATCCAGCACATCAGAACAACATCAGGAAAATATTAAGGTCTTGTAATATAAATTCTGCCTGCCATAGTGTTCCTGCAACATACTGAGCCTAGAAACATGGTTTTGAATCAATATTATGGTTAGCTATTAGCATAAGGATTTAACACCTGTTCTTCATGCCTATTAGTCATCTTGTATTTTTATCATCAGATGAGTCTTCCAAAGTGCATTCAAAATACTTTACCAAGCTAAAAACATGACGACCACAACCATGTATATCTCTATACATTATTACCTTTTTGTTACGTTTGATTTTGGTAATTAGTAGGAAATCATCGAATAGGAAGAGGTAGACGTCAAGGAGTCTTGTGCTTTCTGGGAAGGAAAACAAAAAATTCAATTTCATGGTCTCTTCTGCCATGCCTACAGTGAGAAGACTAGAGGAAAAGGCTTTAAGCTGAGACAGGGGAGATTCAAGTTAGATATTAGAAAAGAGCTGTTAGGATGGTCAGGCATTGGAATATATTGCCCAGGGAGGTGGTGGAGTCATCATCCCTGGAGGTGTTCAAGAGATGTCTGGATCTGGTGCTGGGTGATGTGATTTAGAGGTTACTGTCAGTGCTAGGTGGACAGTTGGACTGGATGACCTTGAAGGTCTCTTGCAACCTGGACAATTTTGTGATTATTTTAAGGAATTGCTACTTCTAAGATGAGGCAAATCTATGAATCACTGCATCTTACAAAATTCTTTTAACAAAGAAACATCATTTCCAATATAGTACACAATTACTCATCCCCCAGTCTGCAGCCTCAAACACAGTAAATCATATGTCTCTTGGTCATTTTGGCTACTAATACTTCTACCATGTAGCAGCTACCTTATTGCTATAAAACAACTACTTGCCTGTCAGGAAAAACGACCTGGATCCATGTTGTACAAATACAATGATTAGCATGCTAAAATTAGCAAATCCTGCCTGGTAAACAGTGAAACTTCTGAATATGGCAGAGATGAAGACATAGGGAAGTTCCACCTTTACCTGGTATGCTGCCCTTTTCATAGGCTTTTACAGTGATGAAGTGTTAATTGATAGCATCATAAAAGCCTTCCAAATACTACACAAAATAGTGCTGACTTATCTTTTCTTCCTAGATTAGAGGTCATAAGGATGTGAGGAATATAACAGTAGATGTCTGTGAGAATGCTTCAAAGTCTTTCAGGCTGATCTCCAAGCTATGCAGAAAACTCATGTCTTATTAGATGATCAGATGGTGTTTGGTCAAAGGTTGGACTTTTGGACTCAATCATCTCAGAGGTCTTGTCCAACCTTAATGATTCTGCAATAATTTTCTCCAGACTGCCCAGGCTCAGCCTCTTGCTCATGTAAGGAGAAAATCCTCCTCTCCTGCACAAGTAGAGATCCTGCAGCAGCTCCCCAGTAAGCAACCTGTGCCCTGCTACACAATAGTGCCTGTGTGTCCACAGTCACAAGTCTCTGCTTGGCCAGGGTGATAGAAAGTGCTGTGGAAATCAACTTGCTTGTGTGGGATCACTGTGCTACCTGTGGAGTTAATGGCATGTTGTATGTTATCTGCTCATAAAAAGGGAAGCCATCTGGCAGAATAACACCACCTTGTTCCAAGGTATCCATCAAAACAGAAGACTTAGCAGAGACAAAGTTGAAATAAAAATAGGAAATGCTTTTGGATTTTCATCAATTTTCAATAAAACACATAGGAGATATGGTGTAAAAGGGGTGAGGTATGTTGACATCAGTCCTCAGGCACAGGGGGCACCTTGTACAGGACAGTCTAAACTGCCTGTTTCCCTATTGCCACATTCTTCAACACAACAGTAAACACTCTCTTTGAGCAGCAGACATTGGCCAGCCAAACCAATTTCTTCAGCACCTGGCAGACTGAGTACCCAGAAGTGACAATAAACAATCGTGCAGACTACTCATCCTTTTGGCAGTTTGACTGTATCTCAGTCTCTCTCTGAGAAGCTGTACATTTGCTTTTTCTCCCCTGCATCTGTCCAAATGCTGTCGCAGAGGTTCATTCTGCACCTGCCATAACAATGTATAATTCTGTTAAGCTGACTCCCGAAATCAGGATATTTAAGGACATTACCTGCTAGTGCCAGCCTCCCTTCATGAAGGAGAAATCGGTTTGCTGAAGACAAAATGTTTTCACTGCTATTTTCTCTTAAGCTTTGCTTCAAACACTTGACCCAAAAGAGAGAGAGAGAGAGAATGGGTAGTCTTGTATATTTGATGGTGAACTGAGAGGCAACCAGCAGTTAAACAAGATGAGCATATGTGTGTTCTTATCTCAGGGCAAACATATCACAGAGCTGATAAGTGAGCACCTCTGTGTTTCTGTAGCAGTGCTATTGTTTAAAGGTGTTTATGCTTTTGAAATGTTCAGCTGGGTTTTACTTTTCCAAAGTGACCCTCATGGTTTTTGCAGCCCTGCATGTGAACAGGCATAATCCTTGAGGTGAGACCCACTCAATTATGTCTTTTTGGGTAAGGGGATAACCACAGCAGAAAGATGCACATTGAAGTATGCTGTGTAATTTTCTGTAATGTTATTTAAATGTAAATGGAAAGTTTTTGGCTCAGCTTGAGGCAAATAATTTCTACTTCGTATCTTTATAAAATAGTGGTAATAAATAGTGGATGTAATACTTACATCTATCCCATTTCATTCTGTCCCCTAAGAGCAAACATTGGAGAATCCTCCTGGTACGTATGACTGCACTCTGGTGGATGCTATCTGAGAGCAGCCCATGCTGTCATGTGAGGCACTGTGCATGTTCACCTATAGTGTTTGCAGTGCCCAGGCTGGAGCTGCTCCTGTTAGAGCACAGCCATCCCCAGTACCTTGCATATAGACAACTAGCCAACTTTAGACTGCACTAGAAATAAAGATAGGAAGCTAAACCTTCCTCAAGTAAAACTGCCCTTTAAAATCTGCTTACCTCTGGGACAAAGAACCTTTTGTCACGATCCCAGACCTGGGGCCAAATTATGACCTCCTGCAGCTGCCTGAACTTCTGAAAGTTGTCCAACCACTTGACTTTACCTTCCAGATCCCCTGAAATATGTGAAACACCAGTTACTGCCAAGGCTGGCAAGATCAGTCCTGTTTCTAGAAGATGCTGAATACCAATTTCCTTCAGTGAAAGCCAAAGAGCCTCACATATAAAGTCCCAGAAGAAATCTTGGCCTCATTGTAAAAAATGTCTAAACTCTTCTTAGATCAGCAGAGACAGAATTTCAGTTCATGCACTCAAAGATGCTTAAATTCGTTGCTAAATGAAAAGGTTGTGTTTACTAATCTGTCTGGGGAACAGAGGGAATAATATAATATACAATTAAACTGTAATCTTAAAAATTTCTTTCAAAAAGTCCTACCTTTCTAAAGTGTCTGGAGTAGTGACAGAAAAATAATTTTCATTATATGCAGCCTGATAAAAAGGCTGTTGAATTGATGAGAATTAATTTTGAAGGAAGTGTTGCCAGAAGTGACTGCAGTATTTAACTGGGGTGGGATACCTCAGTCTGTGAAAAATGGGGACTGTGTCTTTGCTGATTCAGGGCCATTATGGGAAAAACTTTAATGGACCTGCAACTTAAATTTCAGGGTTTTGGGTTAAGTGATATTGCAGACAATGGTTTCAGAAGGAGAATGCTGTGACTGCAACTGCTCTTTATGTCACCGGTTCACTGTTCAAAAAACAAAGGCAGATCCTTGTCAGGCACCTGTGAACACAGATCGCCCCTCTATCTTTGGTTTCCCTGACCCAGAGGTATCTAAACTTGGGAAGGACCTATTCGTCTGTCAGTAATACTCCCCACATATCCCATGGTCTTTTGGGGCTATACCTAAAACTGCTGTCCTCCCAGCAGACATCCCCAGGCTAGCAACAAAACCTTCTTATTTTCCTATGGGACCCGTTCTGTGGAGAAAAGTGTGATCCTTGTGTGGGCATTAGACTAGACTACTCGTAAGACTTGGCCAGAAGAGAAGCAACCCAAGTCTCTTTTAGGTGGTAATTCTGTCATTGGAGTATTTACCCAAGAAGAAGGAGCCCCTGATTTATGCATCTCTAGAAGACATTAACCCTCTCTCTGCCTCATCTCCTGAGATGTGTGAGCCTTCAGCCCCTGGAATGGGGAGAAGGATGACAGCAGAGAGCAAGTCACCATGCTGGGTAGTTCAAGGCCCTGGTGAGCTGCTTGTGAGGATGAAGCACTGCCTGACACCTGTCCCTGTCAAGACTGGTGGGATAAGTGTTTTGCTAATGTCCTGTGTTGTCTTTGATTTCAGTGAGGGCTGCATGAAGCCTTTGGGGAATAAACCTATCTGCTGATGAACTATATGGCCATAAGACATTTAGAGATGCATTTAAAGCTTCCTGAACAAGACTGACTTCATAAATTATTTAGAACTAATAAATTATTTACTTAAAACAAAATGCAGGGAAAAAATAATACCTGGACCAACCCCTTCTTTCCCACAAGAGCTAGAGAAAATCTGTAGCTGAGACATCTCTTCAGCTACTTTACATGGTAGGACCCTGTCATTAGTAAAAGGTCATCGACATAATATTCCCCTTGTGAGTTCAAATTTATCCTATTAAGGATCAGCCCCGACAAATCCTCCCTACACAGAAATCCAACTCAAAGACTTCTTTGTTTGAGATCTTTTGCAATTTGTTCTAATTTGTGATCTGCTCTTAATTGTTTGCATGTCACTACAGATGATGCTGAGCAAATACAAGTGAGTCACTGATTTGGGAGTCCTGTGACATTGCTCAGAGAGGCTTTGACAGCACAAGGTTGGGCCCAGTCATTTCTTACAGAATGAGGCTCAGGATTGTAGAAAGGCACACAAATCATCATTGCATCTCTGCAGAGAGGCCGGACCAATTCACACTAAGGACGTGCACGAAAAAGCCACATAATTTGCTAATTGTTAATCGCATACTTGACTTTTAACCTTGGCTACTTACGTATGGACTTTTCCACCTTCTCTTTAAGTGACTGGATAAAACCTTTCTCTGTTTCGTCAGTGCTCCTCTTCCAGATGTTGTTAAGGAGGAGGGGATAGCGCGTCAGTCGATGCAGAGGAGCGACCAGCAGCTCTGGCAGATGCAGCCTCTTGCACTGTTCATTTTGTTCACACCACTGCTGAATACAGGGAAAACCTGCCTTAGGTTTCAGCTTGCTTCCTGGCTGAGAGGTAGCAAACAGTTTGCTGCATGATTAGATGACTGTAATGAGACAGGGGCTAATGAAAGGTGAGTTTCTCGCACAGTGAGAGCAATGGCTCTTGTCATGGTTTAACCCAGCAAGTATCTAAACCACACAGACACTCATTCACTCTCCCCTCCTGCTGTGGGATGGGGAAGAGAATTGGGAAATAAAAAATAAAATTTGTGGTTTGAGATAAAGACAGTTTAAATGGACAGAAAGAGAAGGAGAAGAAAATAGAATTTGAATATACAAAACAAGTGATGCACAATGCTCACCACCCACTGACCAATGCCCAGCCAGACCCAGAGCAGAGGTCTTCCCAGCTATCTTTCCCTCTAGTTTATACACTGAGCATGACATCATATGGTATGGAATATCCCTTGAGTCAGTTGGGGTCAACTGTTCCAGCTGTGTGTCCCCACCCCCCCCAATTTATTGCACCCCAAAGCCTCCTTGCTGGTGGAGTGGGGTGAGAGACAGAAAAGGCCTTGACTTAGTGTAAATGCTGCTTAGCAACATCAGTGTGTTATCACAATTACCCTCATCTTAAATCCAAACTGCAACACTATACCAGCTACTAGGAAGAAAACTTCCCAGCCAAAACCAGGACAGGTCTCTACAGGGGGAATTGTGCTGCTCCTCCAGATTAATTTTCTGCATTGCTGCTTCCCATTCCAGATGCTGTGGCCACGCTAGCAGATCAAACAGTGCTCTTATTTATTTCCTGTTTTAATTTTCTCAGGAGAACCTGAGAAAATTAACCTGAATTAGGTTTGAAAGCCACCTTATGTTTTATGGTCATTTCTACTTGCCACTGGGGAACTTTCTCCTAGGTGTGAATGAATGAAATCCTTGTCAGGGATCAAGCAATGTGCAGCTCCAAGGCCCAAGCTACAGAATTTGCCCGCTACAAAGAGGTGTCTTCCCAGTTTTGGGCTGTCTATGAGAAAAGCCCACTACTTCATGCCTCTCTTTCTAAGCCTGTAATGTTGAAGATCAGTCTTAAGTATTTACAGGACACACTGGTCTGCTAACAATGTCAGATAGAGCAGAGCCTTCCCCCTGAGATCCCCTGACATCCACTGCACTGGAGAGAGTTGTTGCTTCAGGTAGATGTGGTGTTAGCGTAGACAGAACTTGCTCTAGTGCTGCAGCTTGAAAAAGACATCACTGATAGCCTTGTCCAGCCTTAGAGGGAGGTAAATACTTGCTTACTAGTATTGTTTTGATACCAAAGTAAATAATTTGAGAGAGATTGCACAATGTGGCTTGGGTTTTTTTTTTTTTGTTTTTTTCCTTTTCCTTCTGTAACCATTTCACTTTGTTAAGGTGGAGGTCAATGAGTCAAGGGATTATGTGCAAAACATCTGAGTGACAGAGGCTAGCAGAATATATTTTCTGCCTGCAAAAATGCAGCCAGTTGTTCCTTTTTGGCTTTCCCCTCTTACCTGTTCTAAATTAAAAGTATGGACTTTCACATGTGCAGGTGAACATACACTCAAAAGGATGACTTTTTACCTGTGATAGCCTCTGCAGGTCAAAAAAATTGTTGTGAAATGCTATCTACACAGTTTTGTTTCCAATGAGCTTTCTTAGTCTGCTGTTAAAGTCCTGTCAGAAGAAAGTAAAGCTGAAGACAACAACAATAGCAACAACAATAAAACCATCACTTTACTTTCAGGTAGATGCCAAAATCTTCTCTCTGTCTCAGTTTTTCCAAGTAGAAGACAGCAGAGGTATAATTAAGGCAATAAATCTGGTGTGTCTGGCAGAGGTCACCCTGGAAAAACTGCAGAAAAGACTTGGAAACTTATCAAGAAATAAAAATGTCATGACAAATGGAGGAACAACAGTTTTAGTTTTGTGCATTTTACCTGAGCTTTTCTTGTACCTAGGAAAATAGGGGAAGAGACAGAGGGGGAGTTAAAAAAGTAAAGGGCAAGTTAAACTGTAATAAAAGTGTAAACTAGTAACAAAACCACAACAGTGCTCAAACAATGCATGGGAGCACAGTTTGAACAGTTCTGCAGAGGTATAACACATTCTTAGACTTTGTTCTCATTAAAAATAAAGGATGTGAAATTCATAAAGCCCACTATCTATGGAACAACTTTAATGACTTCATGTAGCATGGTATTTTATGTCTGAGTACATTAGGTAACTCTTAGAAATCATAGCATAGCATCATTTAGGTTGAAGATGTCATTCAGGATAAAATGCAGTTTTGTCTGGGATTTTGTCAGTCTCAAACAAACATTATTAATAGGAATGCCTGAAGTCAGAGGTAACAGGGATAAGGAACCAAGCTCTAGCCTCCCTTTCCCTGTTAAAATTCCTGACACTTAAGTAGGGTTTGCTTCAGTATTTCCCAGAAGTTTTCTAATGGCTTCTATTATTAGGAAAAGTTCAGGTCCATGAATTGATCTTCTGTCTGTATTAATATTTCCGACTTTACAAACACTGGGAAGTTGTGCAGGAATTAGAGCTCCTGGAGACTCTTATTAAGACAACTGCCTTGTTTACCATTCAGACTGCCCAAAAAGGTTGCAGGGCAGGTCTTGGCAGCAGCAGGACAGCTGTGTCTGTGCCTCTCTCTTGCTTAGCAGACACAGGACAAAGTGTAAGAGGTATTCCAGTCCCACTGAGCTCTTAATTAAAAAAACTTTTCGGTCTGGTCCATGGAGTAAAGGAAGATATATGCAAAGGAGTGGAAGGATGCAGGGAACATCCAGTGATGGGACTGGGCTCCTGTGTCAGGGAAATATCTTCCACAGGGCAGGAAGGTTGCCTCTGCCAGTGGCCAGGACTCCTCAGGTTCTGGGCTGCCATTGCCCAGGAAGGGAAAATCTTTCCACATTTTGTTCAACATAAAGAGCACCTTTCCATGACCACCTCAAACATGGCAATGAATAAAAAGAAAACATCCTTGCTGATAGGAGCTGTTTGAGGCTGAGACCAAACTGCCTGTGACGGATGACATATCCTTGACTGACTTGATTGCTCCAAAGCATCTGCATGCTATGATAAATGGTCTGCTGCAAGGACCAGCTGACATTAAAAGCAAGAATACTTCTAATTGTGTTACCATTCTGAGTATGGAGCTGAAATCCATAGGAGAGTCTGACTTGCTGACATGGTTCTTCACAGTTTCAAAAAAAGTTTTCAGAAATCTGAGACTTATCTAAGTAAGGGAAAAAAAGAGAGAAATTAGCATCAATGATTTGAAGTTAAGATTAAAACAACTATTTCCCATCCTTGGCTTCAAGCCTAATGGGTGCCTGTACTTATCTCTATGACATTGCCAGAATTATCTTCAGAATTATGCTGAGAATGCTTTAATTAGTCAGAAAAAAATCCCTAATCTGTACAAATACCCACATATGTCATGATAATGCTTTATGATGAAAGCTTTGAAAAAAGAGAGCTATTCCATTTAAACTTGTTTCAGTGTAGCAGCTGGACTGAAATTAAAATTAACATGAAAAATGACAGTGGGTGAATGATATCTGCTGGGAAACACTGATTGTATATGACAGAGCTGTGGCAATTAAGGGAAACTTCATGGTCATTTGAGGAAGACACCATCTTTCATGGTTTGAGTTTGTTTCATGCAATTGAAGGTGAGGGAACTTTCTATAAAATGCTATAAAAAGTCACATATTCCCCATAAGTTAAATTCATATGTTTGCACTAGATTCAAGAATGCCCACATTATCAGTTAGATGGGGGTGAAAGCCTGCTCCTAAGCCCACACTTGCCTCCTGAACACACTATTTTCACAGAAATTCATGACCATGCTCAGTTTTAGGCCAAATTTTGGGCTGGGGGGAACATTATCTGCTGTGATACTGCTATGAACCGTTGTTGTTGTAGCTGCACACACTGCTTTGTTTGGTGTGTAGGCGAGGTTGCTTATAGGATGGTGCTTATTCTTTAATTTTGACATTTACACCTTTTACAGCATGCATTTTTTTCATGCATTCAGCCTGCTGTAGAGAAGAAATGAATGCTGTAATACACATTAAAAAAGGCACAAAAGGCATTGAGAGCAGCTACCTTCTCCTACATTTAAGCACTATTTTATATACCAGTATGCATAACAGATGACCATTTGTCATCCTCATTATTAACGACAACAAAATTAGAAAATAAAATAGAAAATGTATTAAAGATAATTTTCTCAAGACATGACCAAACTCCAACCAAGCTCAAAGCTAAATGGCACACAGCAATATATCCCACTCCCTTCTTTGAACAAGAACAAATGAAGCAACAACCACACATCTGCTGCTGAACTCTAGTCGTTACCTGCATGTATAGTCTTAGTCCACAACAAGTACAAGGGGAAACACATCAGCTAAAAATCTCTTTACTTGTATCTCCAGGCCTGCTCAGGTGGTCTCTCACCAGGTGTGTGGTCTGTCACTGAGCAGCAGTGATTAGCTCATGTGCTGAGTTCTGGCTAATTGTCCCTACATTGCAGACCTTTCCTGATTTCCTTGTTTTGGCTAAAAAGGGAGATGTTCACTATTAAGGAGAGAATTACAATAAGGGAAAAAGCTTGAAATCAGAAACTGGTTTAGGGTGTGTGATGTGATTGTGAGCAGTCATTCAATTAAGGCACCTGAAGAGTGCTTTCCAAAATTCAGTTTGTTATTAAGGGTAAGGTGTCCTGTAAAAGGGCCCTCAAGCTAAGGAAAACTTCTGTTTTGCTTCTAAAGTCATGTAAAAGCTATTTTAGACTTATGGGTTTCTTAACTTTCAGGAGCTGAAAATGGTCTTCCAGAAACCAGCCCAGAAGCAGCAAAGAGTTGGAGCAGATCATAGCCAAGATTTGTGGTCTCCCTCCTCCTGGACAGTGTTGGGTAAGTAGCACACAAAGACAGAGCTTTCAGCCTGTGTGGGAAAGATCCTGACACACATGCTAAGGGAAACCTCAGCTGAAGAGAGGTGGTGACCACTTTGTTTTAGCTTGTTCCACTGCAGTGGCATAATAGAGAGCAAAGTCTTTGTGCCCATCTGTTTGCAAAAGGGAACATGCTACTGTGGTTATTTTGCCATGCTTACTGTTTACCTGTACAGATTGTGTAGTAGGAGTTTATCTTCACAACTCCTTTTAAAGGGTCATTGCTTCTGGGAATAAATCTCAAACTTGTGCTTACTTCAGAAACAACTGCCAAATAAGCTCTCCCACATGTTTAAAATGCCTGTTTATCTTTTGCTGGAGACACATGAGAATAATTTGTACTGGTGATATTTGACCCAAACTGGTACCAAATAGAAAGGAAAGAGAGACTGATAATTTAAACAAAGTTCCAAATGTGAGCAGTGAAATTGGATAGATATTTTATGGATGGTTGTTGTCTTCTTTTATTGAGCTGGTTGATTTCTGATCTCAGTAACGCTTCTGTTTTTTCACTCACCTTGTTTAACTCCTCTAAGTTTGCAAAAAGTCTCCACAAATCCACATCCAAGAGAAATTCATTACTCTGGAGGTATTTTAGAGTGTTCATAAATATCTTTAAAACCAAAACAAATCCATGTTATTTATTATTGATGAAATTGTGCCAATTCAGTATCACTTCCCTCCCAGAAAATAACATATTTGTACTGTAATTTTTATGAAATGATCATCTGCTTTGGGTTGGGCAGAAGATGGCATTCTGAGACAATTTTTCCTGACCTGCCTGAAGTCTAAATATTGGGTTTTGTGGGAGGAGGAGGGTATGAGTGATGCCTCTGGGTTTTGCTGTGGCTACCATGAAGGCAGCTGCGTCCCTGCTGTGCCCTCTGGCAGAAGAGGGGCAACTGAGCCCCCCGCAGAGTCCCTGCATGAAGGAATTAATAACATCAGAGACATAGTTACAGATTTCTGTGACCTTTTTAAATGCTTTCCTTCCTACCCCATGCATCTGCTGCAATATAAATTGTTTAGACCTACTATGGGGAAGAAAGGTGTTGTTGGAATAGTGTACGTAGAATTCCTGTGAAGGTTTTTCATCTCTTTGGATTGTTTTATTAACCTGTACTGACAGAAAACTGCATGTGTGTTTACTGGCTGTTAACATTTTACATTATTTAAGCTGATTCAACTGTAATGAATCTGACCTAAATGTGAAAAAGACTTAAAATATATAGGTTACTGAGTAGACTTTTTTGTTTATGTGTGAAAAGCATTAATGAAAAAACCATCATCCAGGTGCCAAGACTGAATAGTTAGTGAGAGTGTTTGCTTAGCCTTGTGTAATTCTTTAGTTACTATGCACAGGTTGACCTGAGACCTTAAAGGGGATTTATGGTGGTCTTAAAGCTCCCTTGGAGGTTCATTAAAATCACTGGAATATTTCTATACTTGGAAGTAAGTAGGTATCTGTAAAACTGGCTACCCAAATTCAATGGGTTCTTTCTTTGGCAGGAAAGTTTGGGTAGCTGGCATGGACTGAATAGTTCATCACTCATGGGTCACACAGGGCTGGCTAAGTCTTGTCTGTGGGTTCCTACATCAGACTCACCAAGGGGCCTGTGTGTCTGTGGCTACCATAAACCTTCCCAGTGTTCCTGCTGTGCCCTCTGGCAGAAAAGGGGCACTTTTAAAATTTTTTCAGTTTTCTGAACCAAGTGTATAGAAGGAAGAACGCTTTCCTCCTGCCTTGGACCAATAGCTGATCCTGTCATCCCCTTTCCTCTCCCTTCCTCTTCTGCCCCACCAATGAGGAATTCAGCTCACTCCTCTATTTATTCCCTTTACTTTGCAGTACTTCTTGTACTGTCTAGGCTAACTTTTCTGCAACATGGAAAATGTTTCACAAATCTTTTTCCTTTAACCAATAAAAAAATCAGAGATTGTCTCTGCAGAATAAGAGAAAAATGATAAGAAAATATTTATGGAAGCTTCCATCCTTTTAAATGCATACATTAACTTTTGATGTGTGGTGACTGTAAATAGTGCAGCTATTTTTGTAACAGTGTGTAATATTCTTGTCCATATTTCAAGCTCTTAAAATTCACTATGGTGGAGGTAATAAAGAGCTTTTGGGAGAGGAGTTGTCTTCAGCATGCTCATTTTCATGTAATATTAGAAGTACAGGTCTGATGAATTCTGAGGTTTTCATGCTCTAGTCAGGTTAATCAAACCACAGCTCTATATGAAGTTAAACAAAGACTATAATATTACAAATTAGTAGTAGAGAAATGTCCAGTATAGCCAATTAGAGAGTGGCTTCAGTTCAGTGTTCATGAGAGGAATAGTGGAATGTCAGTTGAAATTCCTGGAAGGATTTGCAATCAGATGGTGATTGCAAAGTGCTAGATTGCATCACGAGAAAGTGATGTTTAGAAGAAGAGATTCCATCATAAAGAAAGAAACCAAAGGGAACTGTGGAAACAGGATGAGCAGACAAGATGGGAGAAAAAACCCAGGTGCTTGTAATTCTCCTATAGATACCTAATGAGAGGTTTCAGGTTGGCTTTGTGTCTGCCATGCTGACATAAGAACAAATAATCTTTCATTAATTTTGAGAAGTAAAATCTGCAGTTACCATCTTGAGAACCAACAAATGATCCAGAAAGTAAGTGCATTCACTTGTGAAAAGTTCCCACACTGCTGCTTCTTTTTTCACTTCTAACCGGCTGTTGACAGCTTTCTGCTCAGTCTGTTGCTCATTTATAAATTCCTGCCACGATTTACTCTATTGATTGAAGAAGAAAGAAAATGACCAATTGAATCATCAACTGCTTCAGACCTTATGGAAAGAATCTATGATCTAGTTCCCATGTAAAGAGCTCAACTGCTGGTATTAGTGATTCTTTGTCTGATAGGTTAAATATTCTTTTAAAAATTTTTTTAACCCTGACATTTTCCTCCAAAATATTTATAATCTAAACATGTTGAATTTGAAAATAGCACAGCATGATAGTCTATGTTTGTGGGATGTTGCATCAAAAGCCAGTGGATAGCTTGCAAACACTAAGGAATTCAATCTGCGATGCTTCCTATTTTCTAGATGATAAAATCAAGTAACCAAAGGACTAGGTCTTTATAGTTACTTGGAAATTGTTTTGTTTAGTCACCTTACTGACTTTCCCCAAAGTCAGATGTCCCCATATAAGTTAGGCACTGGCAGGAGCCCTCAACAGCTGTGTCTATGGGGAGCTGCAAATACCAACCTGCTGTGAGAAGCAAAAGGTTTGCTTTGGAATGGGGTGGGATTAGGTGTGGGTTACCTGAATATAACCCTGGTAGTCCAAGCTTGGCATTTCTATGGGTAGGGACCAGAAGCCTTGTTTATCTGGCTGACAGGCTTTGGTGGGATTTCTGCAGCCAAACCTTGGTGTTGGCACTGACCCCTATGTGGCTGCCTCCGAACACAGCCCTAAGGCAGCAATGGAGGTGACTGTGTGCCATTTGACATCTCTGTGATGCTGCAGTTTCTTTCCCCAGACCTGCAGGTGCTGCTGAGAGGGTTGTCTTGATGCCTTTTTCTGAAGGTGGTACCTCCCTGATCTAGGGCAGTCTGGAATGCTGGCAAAATCCAGATGGTTTTGAGGGCCCCTGCTAACCTTCTAAGACCCTCAGTTTCCTCCTTACCCCTCCATTTCAAATGGCAAAAATATATTTTATGCTTTTGAATTAATTTAGCAGAAAGGTCTCATATCCAGATTAATGTACTGAAAAATGTTAACTTTAAAAGAACATGAAATTCCTTCTCCCATCTTGACATATCTTCTATACAGTATACTGAGTATTTTGATACCTTAAAGCAGAAAAATTCATATGTGCCACAGTCTATGATCTTAACAGTTGAAAGAAAATTTTCCAGATCAGATGCTTGCTTTTGTTTGTCTTTAGCCTGTTGAATGAAAAAAAAAGAGAAAAAAGCCCCTGATTCATACAGTGTTTTAAAGAACTGTTAAGAATTTTCCTAGCTCTGTAACCTTGCCATAATCCTTAAGGAGTTTGCCCTTAACTGAATGATTTCTTTATATTCCAGGCTCTCCTACAGAGAGACAAGGCAGTGATGGCAGGTTTCTTTGTAGCTATGGATGGGATGTGTAGGTGCCTTAGGTTTGGGTGTGTAAGATCTTACTTATGTAACACACAAGTCTTTGGCAGGGCAAATCACTGGTATGGCAACAGCCAATGGGCTACCCATGGAGGACAGAACAAATAAAATATTTTGCTTTCTTTAGCACTGTCAGACATAGAGGACAACAGATTCATCGCTGAAATCATCCTTCTGCCATAGGTATATAAATTTATCTGTTAATTTATTGTTTTGGTTTTTTTTATTTGAGCTGCATATTGAAATAGCTCCTTTGGTCAGCTGCAGAGTAGTGTGTGTAAAATCAGCTTTCAGAAATCTGAAAGAATAGCAGGAGCTTGTGTGAGGGATTGTGAAATAAAAAAACATTACTTCTGTTCCATCTTCCGTTTTTCAGGCCATGGAAAAATTTAATCATTATTTATGAACTCTAATTTAGTGCTGTGGGCACAGAATTATAAGATGTTGGCCTAACTTTCATCTGCTGTTGGCATCAGTATATTCTCTTTTCATGTATTTCTATTGTCGGAACTTTAGGCCTCGAATTCAAGCCGATTTTGAAATATGTGTTTGATTATAATATTTGAAATTCAGAGTTTAAGCTCAGCTCTTAATTTTGAAAGATAGATTGAAATGGAGCAGAAACAATAATGCAGCTATATATGTGCACACTTAACCAATGTACCAGCAATTGAATTTTCATAAATTAAATCTTATGTCATTTAATAGTCTCAGAAATTACTTCTGTCTAAAATCAAATGCTTTTTATTGCAAATTTCAAATATTTTGCTGAATTTAAAATTCTCAGTTTTAGGCCATGCCCTTTCAAATATTATAGAATTGTTATCAAATGAAGTAGGAACTCTTGTACTTACTAATATGAGCACTTGCATTGGTTTCATTTGCACAAACTCTGATAAAATGCAAAAACTATTGGGAAGGGGCTATTCACAGTTACACCTTTAGGCGTGGAAAGTTATCAAGACGCTTGTAAATAGTTTTTTTGAATGATGAACAGTACTCAGAAAGTAAATTCAGATACCTTAGTAAGTAAAAGTATTAATAAGTGGAAAAGACAAGGAAATGTGTTAGACAAGGAGATTCACTGAGCTGAGTTGGTGTGTATGCTTTTACTGGTCAGTGTGAGGGTACCCATGAGAACAGGAAATGCCTAAGAAAGCTTCTAAAAAAGCTACTTTGATAGGCAAAGCTTAGATCCTTTCCATGTGAGTGGGACTTTGGCAGATACTCCAGAGCCCTAAGACATGCAGAAAATACAGGATACACTATGGTCAAAGCAATGATGCAACTGACTTGTCCACTTTGAGCTACCTTACCCTGGGGAGCTGCATTGGACCTGCTTCCACCCCTAAACACACTGTATGAGACCTCCTGCATTGCCCACCCTATTCTGCCCTCCTGGTGCCAAGGACACCTCTCCTCCCCCCTCCCACTGGGGAGCAGTGGCACTGACTGTTGTCATGTGCATCACATGAGGTGGCTGCGTAGGAGCCACCCAATCTTCGTTGCAGATTAATGTCCAAACAGTCCCAGGGTGGGCTGAGACCTCTGAGATCAGCTCATCTGCTGGCTGTCTTTCTCCAAGGGCAGGAAAGTAAAGAAACTATTTTTTACCCAGGTTAATTGTGAGGGAAAGCAAAGTCAGTGCAAGGAAAAATAAAATGGTACAGTACTCACAAATCCTCTTTTGGCAAATGGCCACCTTGACTTTTTGGACTCTAATGGGTAAAATAAACGTTATCAGTAAAGAAACAAATAGCTAAAAATAAAGCTGTTATTAAAATACTTATTTTTAGAAGAAGCCTGGTATACTATACTCTACTTGGCTCAGATTTAATGCTTAAGTTTAGGCAGTTTGTGCACCAGACTTAAAACCCATTAAGCCTGTTGGATTCCTCCCAGCAAGAATTATGACTATCTGTAATGGGATCTTGGATGATGCTAAATACTCCAGCTTGCTGCAGATGATCCATATGTGATTGCCAATTCTTCACATGGGAAAATGCATCGTAACTCAAGCCAATTCTTGAATATAATCATTATTTTGAAGCAAGAATTAGTCTGTGCCTGTTCATTAGTGATAACTTGGAGGTATGCAGGTATTTAAAACTCCTGCGAATAAACAATCCTACAAGTCCTAAGTCTTAGATCTGTCATGGGGCTGGCACAGTGGGGCAGGCTGTAATTTCTGGTCCTTGGTGAGGCACAGGGAGAGCTGGGGATCTAGATGTAGGAATGCACTGGTGTGTGGTGAGGAGTGACTGTGTTTGTGCAGCAACTAAGCGGTAAAGATTTTCTGTGTGTGGCATCTACCTTCAGGCCCTTATGTGACTGGGAATCACTGTCAAAACTATGTCCTTCTGGAGTTTGAAGGTCTTGGTTATTCTGGGGATGACTGGCTTATTTGCTTTCATGGAACTGCTGGTTGTGGCATTGCTTTTTGAGAAAATTTTTATCTCTGGTCACCATGGTCTCTGGTAATCACACTGCACACTATACTATATTCCACAATAGATATTTGTGGAAATTGATTGCATGTCTGAACTTCAGTTTAGGAAGGTGTTGTGAGCAGCCTCTAGCCATGAGTTGGGTCTGCTACTGGAAAAAGCAGCATGGGCCACTCTATTCCCTCTGTTTGAAGCTGTGCAGGTATTAATTTGTAACCCAACTGCTTGAAGATGGAAATCCTGGTCTGGGCTCTGGGTACTCCTAGCCTGCAGAGGAGCAAGGTGATTCATGCCCTACACTCTCATCTATTTCTTGCATTTTGCATTCAACAATTAAATGCAGGAGAGGAAAGAAGAAGAGGAATTTTACAATTGGCAATGCAGTCACTTTGGTGTGGAAGCACAGGACAACAGGACCCACAAAGGCTGGGCTGCCTTATGTTGTCATTGTACCCATCCTCCCTCCCAGTCTCACTTGCACACATGCTCCAGTCCTGATTTTTGCTGGGCTCAGATGAACAAACCCCAAACAATTAAATGCAGGAGAGGAAAGAAGAAGAGGAATTTTACAATTGGCAATGCAGTCACTTTGGTGTGGAAGCACAGGACAACAGGACCCACAAAGGCTGGGCTGCCTTATGTTGTCATTGTACCCATCCTCCCTCCCAGTCTCACTTGCACACATGCTCCAGTCCTGATTTTTGCTGGGCTCAGATGAACAAACCCCACCCTGTACCTGCGCTCTTTTGAGTAGGGCAAGTAGTCCATGGCACTGTCTGACACCAGGAGATCTCCAGGGAACACCTCGAGTCCCGGCAGACTCACTACCAGGGAGCTACGCCTGCGCTCGGCTGATCTGTGAGATGCAACAACAACACATGTCATCTCCCTCCACTGGAGACTGTAGAGGAAACTTCTGAAGTGCTCCTTGCTGATACAGGAGGGAATCAGCTAAAAAACCAAATCACAGTGGCTATGACATAATGTGTTAAAGGAGCAATGAACAGAAAATTTCAGCGACTGACAGCAAACATCTAATTATCTTTCCAACTCCACATTGTTGCTGAGACCAAGGTGCTTACGGCCATGGCTTGTTTCAGCTAGTAAGTAATTAAAGCATTTAAATGTTGGACATTCATGGGTTCTTCTGAGAATAAGCAAAAAGTGAACAGGGATTTCAGAATCTATGTTTTGGCACTGGAGTCCAAAGGAACAGTTAAATACTATGTTCCTAGCTGATATGTGGCTTGTCATTACTTTTAACCTTCATATAATTCAGGTGTTTTCAAGAAGAGACAGCACACTAGTGAAACTGTAAAAATGTGTTTTGGGGTTTTTGTTTTGGATTGGGTTTTTTTTGTATTTAACCTTTTAGCTAGTTTGTGTTATTTTAATTCTAAATGTTTTTGACGTTTTTCCCCCTGCTATTTCAAATAGTTTTTATTTGAATGTAATATGACTTAGTGGCCCTGCTGACTGGAAAAAAAAAAGGCTCTTTCCAACTATTGTTGCTGCTAATGGAGAACATTGTCCAGGATGTAGATCCATCAAGGAAAGTGACACAGGCATTCTGTATCCAACTGTGTCTGTGCCAGAGGCTGCTTGCATTCATACGCAGAAACTGTTGATGCACATGAAAAACCTTTTTGGATTTTGCTAATAACTCATACCTACACCTAATACCTAATTAATTTTGTTAGTGTCCTGCTGCAAAGGGACTGATGTCTACAGATGCTGTTGTGCTGCCTTCAGTTGACTGATGCATAAAGGCTGCATTAAGGCTCAGTAACCAAGTAGCTGAGGGAGGAGACACAAAGTGTGTACATATATAAAAATTCTGTTTTTCAGTTACCACTTACTGTGTACGGTATTTTTGGTCAGTTAAGTATGATTCTTATTGGTTTGTTTGGGTTGGGTTGGGTTTTTTTGCTTAGGCAGTTACTTTAGTGTGAATAACTGGCCATTTGCAAACACCTGATGTGAAACCTGGCAAGTATATTTTTTCCCCTTATGTGCATGACTTGTCACTTGACAATTTATCCACTGGCAGATGAGCTCTGAGGTAGAGAACTGGGATTTGATATGTGTAGCAGGACATGGAGATTATAATTTTTGTTATGATCTGACAGTGACATTGCTTGCTGTTGCCTTAGCTAAACAATTGAATGGTATAGATGAAAGCTGCTCCTAACAACAGAAGAGGATTGTAGGCTATCAGGAGATCTGGGACTTCAACACGTAAACCGTAGATATATTTGGGCTTGAAAACTACATGTTGAGAAGGTTACAACATGCAGTGCAGGACTTTAA